AGGTTTAGTGAGTGGATCAGCAACATTCTCATCCGTGTAAACTTTGCAGATCTTGACATCATTCTTGTCTACGTACAATCTCGCGAGTGAGGTAATATTTCCTCATTACATGCTTGGATTTGTCGTTTGATCTTGGTTCTTTTGCTTGTGCAATAGCTCCATTATTATCACAAAACAACTCAATTCCTTCTAGAACACTAGGTACAATGCCTAGCTCTGTTAGGAACTTCTTTATCCAAACAACTTCCTTAGCTGCTTCTACTGCCGCTAAATATTCTGATTCTGTCGTAGAGTCTGCTATAGTGCCTTGCTTTGAACTCTTCCAGCTCACTGCTCCTCCATTCAGACAAAAGATGTACCCTGATTGCAAGCGATAATCATCTCTGTCTGTCTGGAAGCTCGCATCAGTATAACCTTTAACAACCAACTCATCTACTCCTCTATAGACCAAAAACATTCCTTCAGTCATTCTCAAGTACTTTAGGATGTTCTTAGCCGCAGTCCAGTGTGCTTCATTTGGATTTGCTTGGAATCTGCTACATAAGCTCAGAGCAAATGCAACATCTGGTCGAGTGCATATCATGGCATACATGATAGAACCTATAGCCGAGGCGTAAGGTATGCTACTCATCCGCTTCAACTCATCAGGATCAGATGGGCACTGACTCTTGCTAAGTGAAATGCCATGTGACATGGGAATGAATCCTCTCTTAGAGTATTCCATGTTGAACCTTGCAAGAACCTTATCAATATAAGTCTCTTGGCTCAGTCCAAGCATCCTTCGAGACCTATCTATATGGATTTTGATTCCCAAAATGTACTCAGCTTCTCCAAGGTCTTTCATGGAAAAACAACTTCTCAACCATTCCTTGACTGACTCAAGCATTGGTATGTCATTTCCTATGAGTAGTATGTCATCTACATACAAAACCAAGAAGACTAAGCTACTCCCACTAAATTTCTTGTAGACACAAATTCTTCTTCACTCTTGAGAAAACCAAACTGTTTGATTGCCTCATCAAATCGAAGGTTCCAGCTCCGAGACGCTTGCTTCAATCCATAAATGGATCTCTGAAGCTTGCAAACTCTTTTGGGATTTACTGGATCCTCAAAACCTCAGGTTGTGTCATGTACACATCCTCCATCAAGAACCCATTCAAGAAGGCGGTTTTGACATCCATCTGCCAAATTTCATAATTATAATGTGCAGCAATCGCCGAAAGTATCCGAATTGACTTAATCTTTGCCACTGGAGAAAAGGTTTCATCATATTCTATACCATGTATTTGTTTGAATCCTTTTGCAACCAGTCTTGCTTTATAGATATAGACATTTTCATTTTTGTCTGTTTTTATTTTGAACACGCACTTGCATCCAATAGGTTTGACCCCATCAGGCAAGTCGACTAGGGTCCAAACTTTGTTCTCAGACATGGAGTCCATTTCGGATTTCATGGCTTCAAGCCATTTCTCAGAGTCTGGGCTCGTCAAAGCTTGTTTGTAGGTAGTAGGTTCAAAATTTTCCAAAATCAATATTTCAAAGTCTTCCGTTAACAAGAAATCAACCAACTACTTGTTTGGGATCCTTGTTCTACTCGACCTACGTGGGGCTTGAGCATCAATAGAAATATTCTCTTCAACATCTTGAAGATTTTCGCATGAATTAGATTCAAGTGGGACGATAGGAGTTTCACTTAATGAATTAGCTTGCTCCGGCACCTGACGTGTCATAGCAGAGTCATGCGCTGGTCACCCTAAGGCCCACTTTGGGCTTCACTTAATGAATTAATATATAATCACATTATCATTAATTAGGTTAGGGTTTTCCTCTCCCCTTTCCCTCCTTGGTTGGTCACCCTAAGGCCCACTTTGGGCTTCGGGTTCCTTTATTGATCCAAACCTAACGTGTGACCTTGTAGGATCCGTTTAGGTGGGCTTCGGGTTTGTTACTTACTAACCCAAAGTTCTATAGCATTCTCTAGCAAGACGAATAGACGAATAGACGATCCATAATTACATTAAGTAATTGCACTAAAGTTGAGGACACATTTCCTTCAAGGTCCCCTAATGTTTTCTTTAGAGCATTTGATTCAATTTGGAACACATGAGGAAAAGTTTAGAACATCATATTTAACATTTAGATCATATGAGTTAAAATTTAAAACATAAAATTATGCAAAAAAAAAAAATTTGATATTATGAAAAGTTTATTAATACATATCTAATATTTTATGGTAAAATTTGTCTTTAATATATAAAACAAAATCCCATAAAATAAAATTAAAAAAAATCTAGGATCAAATATGTCAATTATTTTGGATAAAGGAAGTAAATCGGTAATACTTTTGGACCAAATTTACCAAGTCAACCTGCAAGTAAATCAGTGATTATATATGCAGATACCGGCGGATATGTTTGTAAACTCGATTATTGTCGCAATGAAGACTCACATAAATCAATCAAAATTGATTTATATCAAGTCGGAAGCTCATACAGGAATCCAATATCTTTTAATGAAGTGCATGATATTCTTTTTCATTACTTCACTAAAAATCCATGGACTAACCGCGAAGGTAACGTTGTCAACATTAGAAGAAGTTTGGTGCTGAGCAACGTGATGATATTTGAAATCATTTTCTGGATATTGCACCTGTTTGTACAAATGGTTAGTTATTTATTTCTGATTTATTCGAAGTTTAATTACATACTCCCTATTATACTACCTCCGTTAATTTGTACGTGGTTGCAATAAAAAAAGGTTTATTTGTGAGTTATAAGAAATTCCTTTGTTGTAACTATTAATTAGCGGAGGTGGTGTAACACAATATACTCCATAGTTAATTATGATAATGCTAAAAGTTGTATATAGGCATTGATATAGTATTTCCTAAAATAATATTATGATAAAAATATGCGTAGATTACATATGATTCTTGATTATATATTTTATTTTACTTCTCTTGCTTTGTATATGCTGCTCTTATTTTACGCTTAACAAAGTGTTTGATATGTTTTTATAGGCTTTAGTTTTTCCTTGTAGTCGAATGGGTGGTAGTACCTTCCAATGTAATTTGCTTAACATCGAGAAAAAACTGAAAATTATCACAAGGCTCTTGGAATTATACAAACCTTACGTATTCTTCAAGGGCATGTAAGTTCAACAATTGCTCAGTATACATTATCTGTTACGTATGGAGTAATTTTTAACCACATAAACAGTAAGGGAAAAAAATAAAAAGATTTTAAAAACTAGAGGAAAATGTTTTCCATTGTTCTATTAGATATCCTTCTTGTTTTTTTAAGAAAAATGACTATTATTTTTTTTTTTTTTTTTTTTGGTGTTTAGAGAGCCACGCGGGAAATAATGTCCTAAATAACTAAATAAGAGTTTTATGGTTTGCAGTTTTGCGGATATAAATACAGAAAAGCTGCAAATTACTGCCCGTGAAAATGGTTTAGATGAAGATGCTTTCAACTTTGATCCCTTAAGGGTTAATTGGAAAGATTATTTCTTCAATATCCACCTTCCATCAGTTGTTGAGAGCCTATTCTAATAGTATGGGGTGTTTGTGTTACATTTGCAAGGCCCCTAGCCACTCTTTCCATTTGAACAAACTCGTTACATAATTATTAATTTCTATTGTGCTAGATACATATTTAATTAATTATTAATTCTACTATTGTACTTTTGTAAATGCTGTAAGATTTTTAAAAAGGAATATATTTATATATTTTTTTAATTAGAGAATATCTTTTTTTTTGACAAAACCTCCACTTAGCAATATTATTAAACAATCAAAAGAGCAGTATCATTACAAATAGCTCCCTGTATCTCAACAGGGGTGTCTTCAAGCCAAACTCTATACTCACTAAACTTAAAACTCATGTTTGCTAAGCAATGAGCAACAACATTACCCGTCCTTCTCACGAACGAGAATAAAATGCACTGACAATGATGCGGTTCCAAGACATCAATATTGTTATTATAATCATTTTTATTGTTATTTTTAGTTTATTATTAGATGACCGAATTTATTAGGATATTTTTGTTAGTTTAATTCGGTTAGTATAAGATAAGCTTAACTTTAAAGATCATATTTGCAAAATATTATCTTTACAAGTTAGAGTCAGTTTCCTAGTTAGATTAGAATTTGTTTTACCGATTTTTAGGCTAATTATTTAGCTTATAAATACGTGATGGTGTTTAACGAAAAGTATGATTGATTGATTTGAAATTTATAAAGTTTTACGTAAGCTTGTGCTTGTGTATTCTTGGCCTAGTTTAGGTTTTAAGCTCGTGTTGCTTAGCGTTTCTTGACCGAGACTCAAGATTCCAAACCTTTCAACTGCGATTGAAGGTTATATCCATCAAAATTCATATCAAATTGGTGTGAATTTTGATGGATATATCCCAGCAGCCACACCAATTTGGTATGAATTTTGATGGATATAACCTTCAATCGCAGTTGAAAGGTTTGGAATCTTGAGTCTCGGTCAAGAAACGCTAAGCAACACGAGCTTAAAACCTAAACTAGGCCAAGAATACACAAGAACAAGGTTACGTAAAACTTTATAAATTTCAAATCAATCAATCATACTTTTCGTTATACACCATCACGTATTTATAAGCTAAATAATTAGCCTAAAAATCGGTAAAATAAATTCTAATCTAACTAGGAAACTAACTCTAACTTGTAAAGATAATATTTTGCAAATATGATCTTTAAAGTTAAGCTTATCTTATACTAACCGAATTAAACTAACAAAAATATCCTAATAAATTCGGTCATCTAATAATAAACTAAAAATAACAATAAAAATAATTATAATAACAATATTGATGCCTTGGAACCGCATCAGACAACCACAGGACAGTAACAAGATATCCCTTACCACATTCCCAAACGCACATGGAGGTGGGAGACCCTTCTTCATATGGTGATATAGCTTAAGATTATCGGTCTCAAGTATAAACTTGCTGAACCCCGCTTCCATAGCAATTCACAAGCTTGCTCTCATTGCGATAGCCTCGCCCACATCAACAGCGAAACTTCCTTTTTTAGTCGAGCAATAAGCTACAACAGCAGCTCCAGAGTCGTCCCTTAACACTCCACCTATCCCCAAAATCTGGCCGTGGAAAGCTGCGTTTGTATTCAGCTTTTACAGACCAGCAACAGGAGCCTTCCACACTGAGGAACATTGCAGCCCCTAACTTACAATATTCTCCCTTAAATTTTCTTCCTCATACTCTCCAATCAAACCCATAGCCTTATAAAGAATGTCAGATTCCCTTCTCTCTTTTTTCTCAAAAATCCATATATTTCGCTTAAGCCAAATTCCCCAAGCTATGCTCCAAAACACATCCCACCATTTCGAGTCTTTGTATTTATCTTGCATCAAGCAACACCAGCCCCTAAAGCTACCCATATCCACCTGTCTAGTATCAAGACGAAGCACATAATGTCTCCATATGGAGCTAGCAGCACGACACTCCAAAATCATGTGTGCTGTAGTCTCCTCCCCCTCCCCATACATAGGGAATATTGTATCAACCTGCATACCTCTAGCAACAAGGCGGCTCATCACAGGCAGCCCCTCCCATACGCTTCTCCACGCAAATAGCTTCACCTTTGGTGGTAAACCTGCATGCCAAATATTCTGCCACTTGTAAGGGGATTGACCTGCAGACGAAGAAGCTTTGCATCTCCCATCTTCTTCAATTAACATATGGTAGGCCCTTCTGACAGTAAATGACCCATCTTTCGAATGACGCCAAGACCAACCTTCTTCCTCCTCGAATAAAGGGATGGGAATACAACAAATCTCGTCAATTTCCCTTTAGGTAAACAATTCCGAGAGAGCCTCTAAGTTCCGGCTTTTATCTTCCCACAATTCATTCACCAAATTCGGAGCTGAAACCCTATCACCCCTTGTTGATATAACTTTAAAACTTGGGAGATTAGGCAGCCACAGATCCTCCCAAATGCGCACATTCTTACCCTTGCCAACTGATTTAAAAGCTCCTCTTTCAATCACTTCTCTTGAACTCAATATGGATCTCCACGTGAAGCTCATATTCGGGACTACTTTAGCACCAAAAAAATCAGAATTCGGGAAATATTTCCCCTTCAAAACCCGTGCCATGAGTGAGTCCTTGTTTGTCAGCAATCTCCACGCCTGTTTAGCTAGCATAGCCTTATTGAACACCCGCATATTTCTAAATCCTAGACCTCCCTGCTTTTTTGCTCGATACAATTTATCCCACGCCACCCAACTCATCTTCCTTTCCTCCCCCTTTTGTCCCCAAAAGAAACTCCTACACATTTTTTCCACCACATTAAGAATGCTAACGGGGATAGAAAAACATTGCATCGCATATGTTGGGATAGCTTGTGCAACTGATTTGATAAGAATTTCTCGGCCTGCTTGAGAGAGATAATTTTCCTTCCAACCTTTTAGCTTCTTCCAAACCCGATCCTGAATACTCTGAAAAAAAAATTTCTTAGAACTTCCAATGTAAGTCGAAAGACCTAAGTACTTATCATGTCCTTCGACAGCCTTAAATGACAACTTCATCTGAAGCATATTTTTCTTCTCGAGATCAATGTTTCGGCTAAAAGACACCTCCGATTTTTCCATATTCAGTTTCTGGCCTGACGCCGCTTCATAGGTTGATAAAATATCCAGAACTTTCTCAGTTTCTTCTTCGTTTGCCCGAACAAACAACAAGCTATCATCTGCAAAAAAAATAGGTGAGAAATAGGCTCAACATGTCTACCCACTTTCACCCCATGGATAAGCTTGTTTCTCTCTGCATCCCGAAGTAATGCGGACAACCCTTCAGCACACATAATGAACAAGAAAGGGGATAGGGGATCCCCTTGACGAAGCCACCTACTGGGCTTAAAAGGTCTAGAAGGTTGACCATTCACTAACACATCAAAAGAAGCCGAAGACACACACTTCATAATATTCCTCACAAAAATCTTCGGAAAGCCAAATTTCACCATCATTTTTTCCAGAAAACCCCATTCAACTCTGTCATAAGCTTTGCTCATATCCAGTTTCAAACCAAGAAAGCCTTTCTTGCCTTTCTTTTTTTTTTTCCGCAAATAATGAAAACATTCATACGCCACCAAAATATTGTCTGTTGGGGTTTGGTGAGTCCGACTCACCCCGGAAACAAACCCCGACCCAAGGAACCACTCGCAATAATTAAATCATAAAGCATAAATAAATAATCACAAAGAAAAGATAACAATTCTTACCCTCGAAGCGAGCTTCGCCCAAAAACCGGGGCTCTTACTTGAAAGCTACGAGCACGTCAAGCGCCGCACCTCCGACGGTATCCACCAACAAAAGGGCGAACACAACTTAAAGGTCTACTACCTGGGGGTTAGCGAGGTCCGACCAAAACCCGAGTGTTATATGAGTTTAAGAGTTTTCCCAATATTATGGAATGCTCTTTTTAACTCCCACTCAAGCATCATTTCCAATGCCCAAAGTTGGGTATTTATAGGGAATGATGGAGTATGAAAATCTCTCCCATCAATGTGGGACAATGAGATTTTCACATTTTATTTTAAAGCTAAAATAAAATTATTAAGCAAACTAGTAATAAATCAACAAGTGTCAAGCATACATGAGAGAGTAGGTGAGGACCACTTGGAGATGGGGACCAAACTTGTTCCCCACTCTCTCCCTCACCTTGTGCCACATGGCAATCCCACTTACTCCCATATTCCAACCTTCCCCTTATTCACGGCCTTATGGCCAAAGCCAAGCCACGAGCCAAGCCCGAGCCCAGCCCTCACCAGACTGCACCTGGCCCGCACCCAGCCCGCACCTGCTGCTGTTGTGGCGTGGTGCGGCTGCGGCGGCTGCTGCCGTGGCGCAGCGCGGCTGCTGCTGTGCCTAGCCGCGGCTGGCCGTGGCTGCCAGCACGGTGCGCCGGCTCGTCTTGCCCCTAGCATTCGGATGCTCGGGGCACTCCGATGCTATGGGTATTTTCGGGAATATTGTTGATTTATTATTATTTTGCGCGTCTCGTCTTTTATCATTTAGACTCGACTTCCAACGATCGGTTTCGACGCTCTGAGCTCGAATTATCGACGTCTAATTATTTAACACTCGGTCGACGAATTAATTTCTTCCGAATTAATTCGTTGAGTTGGTTCGCATATATTTGCTTGGGTGTGACCCGAAGGGTTCAGTCAAGATTAAGCTGTAATATTAATTATATTAATATTACTGATCGGAAGCGGCCTCCACCCAAGCATTCCGATCACTTGACCTTATTGAATATATTAGCTTTCTAATAATTCTGAACCCGCTATAAGAATAATACACTTGTTCGAAGGACACTATTCCTTTCATTGTCCGTAATCAATCTACCCGGAACAAAACCACTTTGAGATTCACTAATGATATATGGTAGTACTTTTTTAAGTCTGTTTGCCAACACCTTGGGCACAATTTTATAGAGCACATTACACAAACTAATAGGCCTATAATCAACAGGAGGCTCACATTCTTTTTTTTTCGGAATTAAAACATGTGTCTGATTAATAGGACCTATTTCACTACCATTATTCAAAATACTCAAAGAGTTTTCAATCACATCTCTACCAACCACATTCCAGAATTTTTAGAAAAAAATAGCAGACATACCGTCGGGACCTGGAGCTTTTGTAGGGTGCATTTGGAACAAAGCTTCCCGTACCTCCTCACCATCAAAAGGAGCAGCCAACTCGGCAACTTGAGCAGCCGAAATTTCCGAGTCCACCTTGCTTATCACACTGTCCGAATCACATTGACCCCCTGTTGTGAAGAGATCATCAAAATGGCGCACTAATACTTCAGATATTTGCTCTTCCTCACAAAAAGTATTTCCAGCCGCATCTTGTATTTTTCGGATGTGATTTCTTGACTTTCTTTGACTCGCTTTCGTGTGAAAAAACGATGTATTTTTATCACCATTTTTGAGCCAGTCTTGTCTACTTCTTTGTCTCCAGTACAATTCCTCCCTTCTCTCCAACTCATCCATTCGTCCATCCAAAGAACGCATTTCTGCAATAATCTAATCAGATTGAGGCTCACTCATAAGACTCTCCATCCTAGCTCTGCAGTCCTTCAATTCCTTCACAAAATCGCCAAATTTTTTCCGACTCCATGCACTCAAATTTAACGAGGTGTGAGCAATTTTGGAGCAAATATCACCCCTTCCTTCTCTCCAAGTATTTGTCACTATATCACCAAAGTCTCATCTCGGATCCACATTTCTTCAAAACGGTATTTTTTAATTTTTTTCTTCTTTTTTATGTTTCCCACTCCCTCATTAACACACAACAAAATGGGTAAATGATCCGACTTCCTCTTCGCTAAATGTGACACAAATGAACCCGGGAAGAGATCTTTCCATTCTTGATTTGCAAAAAACGATCTAACCGCTCTTGAACATTCTCATCACCCCCTTGGTTATTTGTCCAAGTGAAATCATGGCCCACATATCCTAAGTCAACAAACTCACAATATGCTACTACCTCCCTTAACAGCCTCATCAATTCGAAACACACTGCCACCCATTTTTTCACTTGACATAAGCATCAAGTTGAAGTCTCCCCCACAAAGCCAAGGGGTAGTGGAATCCCTTTTCAAACTCTCTATCAAAAGCCGAGTCAGATGCTTGTTCTCAGCTTCCGGATGACCGTAGACACCCGTGAACCTCCATCTTGGCTTATTTGACATTTTAATCCAACAATCAATATGGTTCAAAGAATAAGACTTAATCTCCACCTCAACCATATCATTCCATAGCTTCGCAACTCCACCACTACGCTTTCGTCCTTCCCCATCGCAACTTACAGCAAAAATGTTATTAAATTTTAGCTTATTTTTAACTTTCTCCATCTCATGCTTTTTTAACTTCGTTTCCGAGAGGAAAATGATTTGGGGTTTTTCAAGAATAATTACATTTCTCACCGCACTAGTTGCCGAGGGGCTCCCCAAACCTCGAAAATTCCAAGATAGAATGTAGTTCATTGATCACTGAGAGCCCATGGAGTGGGGCCCGCCACATTTTTAGTAAGGATCTCGGTTCTTCTCTTTTTATTTCCACTCACCTCTTCTTCATCATCTACCACCATATAAGCACTACACTTTTCATCCTCTCTATTTCCCCTTTTTTTTCCAGCCATCAGATTCTCTTCTCCCTCCCTCTTTTTTATTCCCTTGTTAAGCACCACCTTCTTTAGCTCCCTACCCTTTCCTCCCATTTCCCCTTTAGCATTAGTAATGCGTTTTATGGCATTCCCCCACCCCCCTCACTACCTTCCCTAGTATCCATCATTATCACTCCCTCAATATCATGTATAGTTCTCTTTCCCTCCTCAAATTACCCTTCACACTTCCCCTGATCGCACTCCCCTTCCCCTGCATTGTTCCCTCTCTTCTCTCCCTTCCCCATCAGGTTCACCTCCTCCCCTTCCATGTTCGTATCAGTCCCCACAGTTCTCAACACCATCTTATTTCCACTACTATCCAAAACTGGAAGTAGTGCAGCCTTCTTACTCTTCAATGCTTCATGTTTATGCTCACTTGGCGAATAGAAAGCCAGCCTTCTAGCAACCCCCACTTGCCCTAACTTGATCACATCCGAGTCACTGTACACAGGCACCTTCTTCGAACTTGCTACACTTTTCATACGGTCAACCCATGTCTTCTCAGCCTCTCGTTCAATCACATCTATTTTAGTTCTTTTCCTTGGCGATGCATGTAGCCACGGACCATATTGGTACACCAACTTTGCAACATCCCCCTTCTCTTGTTCTTTGTGTTGGCATTCTCGTTCTGTATGCTCCAATCTTCCGCAAAAGAAACAAAAATCCGCAAGTCTTTCATACTTAATATCCACCCATCGAGTTTGATTTTTCCCCATAGCAAGGAATAGGCCTATTCTAAGTGGTTTATTAATATCCACTTGCACCTTGATACAGACACAATCCCCCCACCCTAAGGGATCAGATTCATCTACTTCCAAAAAACCCCCTAAAAATTCTCCTACATCATACATGACTTCCAGCGAACGTTTGTTTAGGGGTACATCCAACAAGCGAACCCACATAGGAGTATACTTGAACACAATTTCAGAGGGTTGCTCATCACCTATAACTTCCTGCAATAGTAGAAGTTTCTCATCAAAGAACCAGGGTCTACCTTCAAGAACACGTTTTTTGTCCTCCACGCATAGGAATTGAAAGACGAAAAGGTTCGTTTCAACAACCCTAATCGCAAATTTTTCCTTTAATCTCCAGACATTCGATAATGTTCTTTTCATTGCTTCAATATTATATGGTTTTACAGTCCATAATTTCCCCACCAAAGTGAGGTTTAATTTGGCCTTTGTATCTTCACTCACTTTCTCGACATAATCCCCACCTAGAATAACACCTTCCTCATCCGTTATCCGAAGTTTTTCCCAATCTTTCACTAATTCACCCCCCATATTCGAAATCAGCACACGAATACAAGATAAATTAATGTTATTAGAGTTGCAAATTGATCGCAAAAAGATGAACACTAGATATCGCACTCGCAAACCCTAAGTCGGGACTAACTCACCCTATCAAATTATTAATAATGTAGCTAGCTAGTTTATTCAATAACACATGTTGTTATTATGGTTAAACATGTGTTATTGAATAAACTAGCTAGCTACATTATTAATAGTTTGATATGGAATAATTTCTAAACTTATATATTTGATTAATTAGTATTTTTATTGTAGATGTGCTAAGATTTCAATAAAGGAGAATATTTTTATATATTTATTTTTTAATTGGAGTATATCTATTTTTTAGACTAACAACAAGTATGGTTCATAATTTCATAAATTATACATATATATATATATATATATATATATATCAATTCTAATTCTATAAATGAACTAGATTAAGTCCCATATAACTAATTAAATTTTACGGAGTATCTGTATATACTATACTAAAACAGGGTACACTAGCTTCATGACTGCCACATGTCCTTGTTTTAGGTTTTTTAATAATTTTTTTTTTTTTTTTTTTTTTTTTTTGGTAAAATGTATAATTGTCAAATATCCTATTATTAAGATACTCCGAGATAATATCTTGACTTTATTAATATTGTTTCTCAATTAACATTATTCATGGGTTTTCAACATATATTTAGTTCATATCATTTGACTTTAGATTGCTTAATTCAAGGAGAGTATATTTTGTTATTTTGTACTCCGTAAATTATAATTTAGGTTTCCTTATTACACTACAAGAAAATACATTTTTCACAACGATTGAAGTCGTTGCAATATACAATTAGTCGTTGCTAAATACGTATTTTGCAACGACATTTGTCGTTGCCCGTAAGCCTATAGCCAAAGGCTTTAGCAACGACTATTGTTGTTGCGAAAAATATTTTTTTTGGCAACGACTTTATTTGTTGTGAAAGATTTGTTGTTTCTGAATATGCATTAAACTTGATCGATGGTAAATAGTTTTAGACAACCAAAATAGTCGTTGCTATAATTAGTTTAGGAAAGACAACGACAAATGTCGTTGTGTTACATCATTGTTTTTGCAACAACAATAGTCATTGCAATAATTAGTTTAGGAAAGAAAACGACATTTGTCGTTGTACTACTTCAACGTTTTTGAAACAACAATAGTGGTCGCAAAAATTATGTAATGTATGATTTTGATTGTTTTTAGCGACAACTACACTATTGTCACCTAATTTAATTTTTAGTAATAATTATTTATTTTAGTTTTTTCATAACAATTACCATGATACTTGAATTTACCATTTTGAATATATAAAAGATGGAAGTTGTTCCAAGTACAAACATTTTCCTTGTTTGCCCAAAATGTGACATCAATGTCACATAATATTCAGAATATACATAGTTTAATGTCATGCCCAAAAATTGGTAGTACTCTATTCCTACCACAACATTCAAGATAGTATTTCATTCATTCCAAAAAAAATACAACATCAGTTCATTCAATGCCCAAAATACCCATCTTCTTTCAACATCCACAATGAAGGCACCTTAGCAAAACTTCCATATCCTAATCTGCATACAATTGGAGATATAAATTAAATAGTTTCGATAACAACTTATCAAAGGTTATAGTTAGCAAATTCCGTAACATTAGTTTTAGCATACAATTTAGACATCACTTATACAAGTTTACAGTGAGTAATAATAGTTTTACTTAATCTATGATAGCCAAATAATAGTAACAAATTTAATACTTCATTTGAGTTATCAAAATATGAGTTATATGTAAACTGATACTTTTTACAAGAAATTACCAGTTTAGTGTTTTTTTTATTTATTTTATTTATTTTTTAATTTTTTTTTCTTCCTAATTTATATATATATATATATATAGTATTAAGTCAAGTATAAGTGATACATAGAAAGTGTAGCAGGAAGAAAAATAAAGAAGAAAAGGGAATAACAAGATTTAAAGAAAAAGAAAAGAAAAAATAAATGTGATCTTTGCCACAAAAAAAAAAAAAAAAAAAAAAAAAAAAATAATAATAAGTTTTAATTGATGATGAGTTTTAAATTTTGGTGGGCTATGTAAACCGAATTTTGCAACTAACATCCAGTTTTGCAACTTTTAAGGTTAATGAATATATAGCGCAAAATAAAATACATAGTAAAAGTTTTACCTCTATCTTAATTACTAGATACCTCTGTTTGCAAGCTGCTGCAGCAACTCTCTTTTAAAATCTTCCATAGCTTGTTGGTGTGCTTTACGCTTTTCAACTTCTTGTGGCTGCCTTTGTTTACAGTCTTTAAACTCTTGTTGTTGCTTTTGATGTCTTTCTTCTAGCTCTTTTATCCTTTGTTCTTGTTCTTGTATTTTCTGTTGTTGCTCAACAAGTCTTCTTTGTTCCAATTGTTGTTTTCCTTTAGAATAACCACGTAGTGCAGTCCCTTTTCCACGAACATACCCAGACCTTGGCTCTAAAACTTGAATTAATATCTCTTCTTGTGTCATTGAATTACCAACAGTAGCAACTTTTTAACCATTTCAACGACCTTTTTCTCTCGTTCAACTACAAATGTATTTGTAGCTAGAGATTCTACTGAAAAATTAGTGCCCAAGGGACTTGGCCTTTCCCCAATCAACTCCACCTTATCATGCTGATATGCATCCACATCCAAATGTTGTTTATCAACATCATCATTGGCATATTATAAAAATCCCTTGGTTGAGCCTTTACAACAAAGTCCCAATCCTTATCTATGGGATCTTGTATAAAGAATACTTGTTCCACTTGTGATTCTAGGACAAAAACTTCATCTATCTTTAAAGTTCGTGTCTTATTAACACTAATGAATCCATATTCATCAACCTTATACCCTCTACCATGGTAGCTTACATCGAACCAATTACATTTGAAAACAAAAACACGATTTCCACCAGGGTAATGCAGCTCAAATATATCACCTAAAACACCAAAATACTCCTTATCTGAGGAGTCATCACCTCTAACCATCACTCTAGAATTTTGTGTTTTTCTATATTCCTAGCGGTCATTAGTGTGAAACCTATAACCATTTACAATGTATCCAGTATAACGCCTTGCAACCCTTAAAGGACCACAAACTAGATTATAAAGATCATTATCAACAAAATCCTCTCCATGCAACTTTCGTACCTAAAAAAAATAAGGGTGTTAAATGATGATAAATAATATAATATGTATGTATTGATAGTGAAAAAAAAATAGACATTATATTACAATGAAAATAAACATACACGATCAAGTATCAATTTGGAAAATTGTGCTTTATGCCTTTTTTCTATGTTTCTTGGGCATTCTGTTTGAAATTCTAACTTGTGCTCGCTGCAAAAAAATTAATAAATTGGAATTTAAATTAAGATAGTGTACTTAATAATTATAAACAATTGATATCGTAACAAATAAACTATTCCACCAAACTTACTTAACAAACTCGACAAGTTCATCACAATTATGTAGAATATAAGAGTGTATTTGATCACTCTCCTCAAAATCAAGATGTACAAGAACACCTTGTCCAATGCTACTCACTTTACGATTGAACCTCTTTCTATAATCATCATTTCTCGCTTTACGATTGAAAACAGTGTCAAAATCATTCATATACCTAGAGCAGAATGTTAGACATTCATCAGCAAGGTATCCTTCAACTATTGAACCTTCTGGGTGTGCTCTGTTACGAACATATGATTTCAACGTTTGAATGTATCTATTAAGTTTAAAGTGCTTTTTAAAGTCAGTGAATTCTCAAAATTATATTATTACTAAAAAAAAAAATTAACTAACATACCTCTCAACTGGATACATCCAACAATAACGAACTTGCCCAGTGTAGGGAATATTTCAAGCATTACCCAAAACTTGAACCCCACTGTATCATACACTAAAGTACGGTGGCGTCCAAAGGAAAGGAAGCTAGAGCAAAAGAGTTGCCAACAAGTTTTAGGAACTTGTAAATTGTTCACGAGGTGAAGGTTACACCCCTTAATGATCCAGGAGATTGTCACCTCCAATAGGTCTGGATCCATGACTGGAAGTTCGGGGATGAAGGTATAAATCCAACCTAAAAGAGAATGAACCTGCCCTAATAATAGGCACCTACTTTATTCTTCTTGTATTCATGTGCGCTTTCTGACTAACATGCAATCAATAGGATTAACCCTAAACCTGTTTATTTATGTTGGTTGAATATTAATGCACAAACAAAACTATTATTGGCAATCACTTGTATTATAATCAAATTAACCCTAAACAAGATTATTAATTATCTTATTAAGCGTGATTAAAAGTACCAATTTCATTTAAACATGCATAAAAGGCGTGATCAAGCAATAACAATAAATATAATCAAGCAACATAATAATAATAATTATTATTCATAACAATAAAAATAATCATAATCATAATTATTATAATCATGTTAAAGCATAATAATAGCAAGATCCTAGGCATGATACTAACAAGATTAATAACAAACCCTAGCATGTCACTAAACAATAAAAATCAAATATTTAGCCCTAACATGATACTAACATGCATATTAATAAAAGACAATAAAAGGGATCATAGAAATCATAATTGATCTAAGAAACTTATTCTTTACCCCCTAAACATGATACTAGGAAGATCAAAACACCCTAACATGACACAAGGAATCATAATAACAACATAGGCATGATTTCTATATCATAATAGCAATAAATCAATTAAAGCACTTACTTGGATGTCTCGTACCTCTTTCTAATAACAAAATACACACGTTAATAACTTCAAGGAAAATAATAATCAAACAGTTAAATTAAATAATTGAAAGAGAGATTTAGGACCAAACCCTCAGAAATTAAAACCTTTCACGTCTAGGGAGAAAACAACTTCGAACAATGCTAGGTGTGTCTAGATCTTGTGAATGCGGAATTTTGTTTGAGAAAAGCTAGTTTAGAAAAGAGAGAGAGAGAGCAATCAAGAATTTCTTGATGAGAGTTGGTAAGAATTAGATGAGAAGAATTGAGAATTGATGATTGAAAACGGAGGTTTTAGGAGCTATTTATAGAGAAAATAAGCCGGATATGATAAAAAACGAATCAGAATTTCGAAAAGAATAAAACACGAATGCAACGCCAAACACGCGCCTGTCGTTAGACGCCAGGCGACAGACATGTCGTATGGCGCTGCAAATAATTTTCCACGCGTTTTCTTATTTTGATAAAATTTAAACATACGAGAGGGTAAAACTGTATTTTCCTTAAAAACACTTCTTTTATTCTAATTAAAACTCTCAAAAGTCAACTAAAGTCAATTTATCAATGCTAATCAAATTAGGATTCAAAAGATCCTTCTAGAAGATTCTAGAAGACTATAATCAATCCTAATCACATTAGGAATGATAAATCATAATAAGCCCTCCTCTAGATCATTGGGTCGCATATAAAGATCAAACCGGGCCCAGTTTAGCTATTTGGCCATAACTTCCTCATTATTCATCGGAATTGGGCTTATAATATATCATTGGAAAGCTCTTTTCGAACCCGACCCAACTACACCATTATTGGACCCTTGCCATGGACCAAACCAAACTGGATTGGCTATTTTATTAAAATAGGTTTTCAAAAACAGAGAGAAAGAGAAGAAATAAAAACTAACCGCAACACTAGACTTTCCACACTTTCACTTCATTCGATTATGATTCGACGTGAAAGGTACTCATCACTGGGTTTGGTTTTGGGGAGACACAAATGGGTGTCTACACCCAGAAATCTTTGCCTTGGCTGCCAAGTGTATAACTAAATGAAACATGACATCAAGAAAAGCTCGTGGAAAAATCATCTCAAGCTTACACAATGTGTAAGAGATTTTTCTTTCAATATCTTCCAGTTTACCGATGGTTATACTCTTTGAACACAAATTCCTAAAAAAGGAACTTAACTCTACTAGAGGTTCATACACATACTTTGGTAAAAAGCCACGCGTTACAAGAGGAAGTAACTGCTCAATGAACACATGATGATCATGACTTTTCAAGCAAGAAATCTTTTTTCCATTATCCTTTACACAATGAGAAATGTTTGATAAATAGCCATATGGGGATTTTATTTTAGTAAACATATCACATATGGGAGCTTTGGCACTTGAGCTTAGAGAGTAACATGCAACAGGAACACGTACTTTATCACCATCCAATATCGAGTGCAATTCACTTCTAACTTTCATCTTCATCAAATCTATTCGAGCGTTTGTGGTATCTTTGCTCTTGCCTTTTATGCCCAACAAAGTACCCAAAATGTTATCAGAGACATTTTTTCAATGTGCATAACATCTAAGTTATAACGAATTTTAAACTTACTCCAATAAGGCAAATTAAAAAAATGCTTCTTTTATGCCACCCATACAGACTATTGGAGGCATCCATTTTTCTTTTGTTACAAGTCTTCCCAAACTTTCCTGGTGTAAAACGAGACAAGTGTTGTAGTACCTCTTCCCCACTCAATGGAAGCGGTGCACGCCTTTTCTCCTTTTTATTGTTAAAGGAAGCAGCATCTTTCTCCATATATGATCAAGTGGAAGCCAACGTCGATGATCTAAATAGCCACCCTTGATCAGCAAAGATGTTCATTTCATTTCTTTATGGCAGCATGGGCATGCAAAATGGCCTTTAGTGGTCCATCAGGAAAGATCTCCATAGGCAGGAAAGTCATTGATTGTCCACAACACTACTGCATGCATCTGGAAATTTTCCTTAGAAAAAGAATCATATGTCTCAATTCCAATGTTCCAAATCTCTTTCAATTCATCAACTAATGGCTGAAGATATACATCTATATTTCTTCTTGGGCTAGTAGGTCCGGGTATAAGTAAAGTTAATATGAATGAATGAGCTTTCATGCATACCTATGGAGGTAGATTATATGGAATAAGAACAACAGGCGAGGTACTATGCTGTGAATTATTAAATGGTTGAAACCCATCACAAGCTAGTCCTAGCCTTACGTTACGCGATTCTTTGCCAAATGTAATGAATTCCATATCAAATGATTTCCAAGCAATTGAGTCACAAGGATGCCTCATTATATCATCATTGAACTTATCTTCACTATGCCATCGCATATCTTCAGCTGTCTATCTAGACATGTACAACCTTTGTAGCCTAGGCTTCAATGGAAAGTAGCGCAAAACCTTGTGAGGCACCTTTGTTATACTTTTAGAAGAACCTTTTTCATCACTTTTTCTTCTCGATAGACCACATGTGGTAGTCAAATTTTCTTTCTCTTTCCAATAAATAATGCAAGCATTTTGACAAGCATCGATCTTTATATAATCAAGACCCAAATCTTTAATGAGTTTCTTTGCCTCATAATAAGAATCAGGAATTGTAGAGCCATAAGCTTGACGTTGTAACTTAAGTAAGCTATCAAACGAACTGTCACTCCACTTATTGAGGACCTTCAAATGCAACACTTTCACAATATATGATAGT